CTGTAATACTGGATTCAATTTTATTTGACTATAGCACACAAAATAATCTAGATTAGCGCACAAAATAGTAACAAAACATCTATATCAACAAGTTCCAAAAAGCACATTTTGTCTTTGCCGATTGTTAGTAACCCCCTTCCCGAAACAACAAACGGTCACTCATTCGTTAGTTTAGTTGTAGTGTTTACTAGCCTCGTATCTTCTTCGCTGACTACGACATTTACCGTTTGTTCTACACTCTTGCTGTTAGTAACCGCGTTGTATTTATTGTAGATAGCTTAAAAAAATCGAACGCTAGGATAGTTTTTCCAGTAGAGTACTCTCGTAGAGTACTGATTGTCCTTTCGTACGTAACGCCAAGTCCCCTAGATTTTCAAAGAATCAGTAGCCATCAATACATAATAATGCTGAAAGAGTATATGTCTGATTTCTGTGTAAGGAAAAACTTCCGACAATAAAGGGTAAAATGTCTCGAATGGCTGAATTAGCTTGATTGAATTTGAAGATTGCATATCAATGACCCTCCCAGCGTCAATATCTATTAGTTTGTTGCATTAGAAAAATACTTATACGTAATATGCTGGGCTCATGCTGATGTGCCGCCGCGCCTTGGACCATCGTATTGACGACATCTTTAGCGTTAATTATGACAGATAGCGCGCCTGTGATTGGCATATATATTAGAGGTCAATAACATAAGCACAAACGTTCAAAGAGAGAGAGGGAGGGAGGGGGAGAGAGTTCATTTACCTCAAGAACGCATTCGGACAAGTCAGTTTTTTGGTAACGACAAATTATTTAGTTTAGCAGCAATAATTGAAAAATAGATAAGTTTGTTATTTATATGTATTATGCAACATCTGATGATCAACTTGTGCAGCAAAAGTTAGTACTCAGCCAAAGTATCATAATGTTGCATATTGCAAAGACCAATTGAAAAATCATCCGCTCCTAGTCAGAATTTTAAATAACGTGATTCGCCATCACAAGAATTAAATAGGTCACACCGAACACAAGCATCTGATGGATGCATAGAACGAACTTAAAACAACAGTTATGATCACTTGTGCAACTAAAAAAATCATCAGCGACTAATGGCATGAAAAACGAATTGGAACTCAACAGGGCCAAAAATATCGTCAGCAATCTTTAATTAATCAGAAGGTGAACGATGTCCGTAGTATGCAATCTTCGAACAAGAACAATGATCGTAAACAGTAGGAGGCCAAATTAGACAGCGTAAAGACAAAATTGGACTCTGATTATTGCCCATACAAAGTATTACTGTTTCTCTCTGATTATTAATTAAATCAGATAATATTTTCACACAAAGCGATAATTATTTTTAATTTTTAAGTAGTAAAGACATTACCAGGTCTTTTTACATACAGTACGTAAGTAAAAAAACTGGGTAGATAAACATGTTTGAAGATGGTACGTTCGCAAAATTAATTTCAGCACAAAATTTATATAAGAAACGACTAATTTTGTTTATTTGTTGTATTTTTTTCAGGCAAGAAACCCAGGAAATGTTATAGGTTTTATAGGAGTAACGATACACAAGAATTTTTTATAAAAAGGATGCGAGTGCGGAGGCGAAAAATGTTGAGCCAGTCTTAGTCTTAGTCTTAGTCTAGTCTTAGTCTTATATATAATATATATAAAAACAGCCGGACTTTTTGCAACCAACAAATTTCGGAAAAATGGTTAGCGCAATTTCCCAGATCATCAGAAGATTAGCGTACAAATGGCAAAAAAAGTAAATTGTCAGACGGAAATGCAGAGCTTGTACTGCTGAATAATTATCACATTTGCGTAGATCAGCCAAGCCTATGCCCTAATACTTAAATAGTCTACGCCGACACCTCTAATAGATCTACAAAGTGTTTGGTACTCAAAGCCTCACATTATTTATAGACTTAAATGTCTTAGTGCATGTATACGACCTGCCCTGTATCATATACGCCACAACTGTTCACTTCTTCATAATAATTCTAAAATGTCTGACAAATTGTTGGCGTATGGAAGCCTACCAATCATTACAATATTAATTGTTCAAAATGGTCTCGACCGTATACGCCAATTATTCTGGAATTTTTTACAATGTCGATTGATCAAATGCATTTACCCACAAATTTCTTCGTAAGCTTACCAACCAATACAATATTAATTGTTCTTAACTAATTTGTAATCGTATTATTCTTGACTCAAACCAATCGGATTAATAAAATTTTTTCGCCAGTTGATCGCACAATCGTCAATTAGCAATGACTCACTAACTTATTTAGTCACATGTATTTTTCGACGATATAACAAAATATTTATAAACGCGACTTACATCAACGTATACAGCCTTTTGTCATTATGTCTTACAATATTTTCTCCCTAATTTTGATAATTCATTTGAATTAGATGCATTATCCCACTTTTTCTTACCAGATTTCTTTCAACAAGCATAGCCTGCCATCGAACAAAAGTACAAATTCCGGCACTCGTATTAAAGTTGAGGGCGCAGTAGAGTTGTATAATGATCGATTACTTTGAACTACAAGATTCTACTTTACCAGTAACAAACAAAAATAATGCAGTCCCCCTCACAATCCCCCGTGCTACTATTGTCAAAAAGTTTCCACCAACAGAAACCACGTCTCACTGACTTTATCACATCCGAACGGATTCAAGTCATTCAGTTTCAAATGAATAAATAGGGAAAACATACAATGACACCCGTGTCGAAGTAGTTAAATACCTTCCACCAAACGATAATCGCAACACGTTCAAATCCAGACGAACAATCCTGCGAGATTTGGTCTCTCAAAATTTAACTCGCAAAAAATAATTATCTGAAGACTTGATTAGATTATTGTTAGGGAAATATTTGTTAATGCATTAAAATTATATTATATACATACATATATATAGTTATTTTAAAATATTGCCTTTAGCTTTCTTTTTTTCTTTTTTTTTATATTCAACATCTTGCTGTACCTCTATTTATAAGAGTTGTTGGGTTTTAACATATATCACTTTAATAAAAGCATCGTTTGCTAATTGCACTGATACACACGTAGTCTAAATTTCTTTGCTAAACAAACTTTATCCATATACCTTTCTACTATTTGTGCTGTTGTTTGAAATGACCTAATATTAGCATTCTACTTACAATGTGACTTTTGTTTACATACTAATCCCACAAATTAATCGTGGTCAATATCCTCGGCCACAAATTTATAGAAAGATTAAACAGATTCCATACCAATAGCCATGGTTATCTAAAAAATTTAAATACTGCCATAACATTTTATTTTATAATTCCGCGCACTTTAAATACATATATACCACCACATCAACCAAACTTTTCAAGAAATATACTCACAAATATAAAGTAAACTTTCACCAATATCATCAAGCCAATCAAATTTGAAATTGTAAATATAAATTTAATAATATATAGCAAAAATGTAATACGGTCTAGCCATTTAATGGCCATCTTACCCCGACGATGGTTTGATACAAATTCGGTAAAAATAACCTTTTAAGCATATCACGTAATGGTTTGTGGACAGTGAACTAAACTTCGTGTGATAAATAAGCGTAATTTTTGATTATTTACTTTTTCATAATACAGCACTATCTAGTCAATGTTAAACTGATTTCCAAATTCGATTGCTTTGATAAACTGGTGAGGAGCGCAAAGAATTCTCATATAACCAAACTTCCATAACAACAATTACACACTAATCTAATTAAAAATGATTTTGATATACCAAAAACGCTTGAATTTTTTTATACTTTTGTTTATATCCTGCATTATCGGTTTTCCCCATTTGCAACCTCTAAAAATGCATTATCCAAATTACACCCTGCGGGGAGGGTTAAAGCAGTTAGTGGGATGCGGGATCGCCACCCTCGCTCGGATTTTACACAAAAAAAAAAACGCCACATCTTTCTTATGTCTATTATCTCCTAAAAGTCATTTGTTTAAACATACGCTCGCACTGCGCAACGGTTTTTACTACATTAGTTATAATCAAAACATCAATTGTGTCAAGTATAGTGTTAACAACATCTCTTGTTCGCATGTTGTTTTGATGAGTCATAATAATTGTTTATGTATTATTTGTTAATAACCCATTATCGCTAATAATTTAACTATAGCAGTAACAATAATGCGCGATATATTACATTTTCTTGTTCTAGTTTAATTACTATACAAATCTCTTAACCAGTAAAATTTTAGCCTTCCTTAGAATGGTAACAACAAACTGGCTTATTGCTACAAGAACTTACAAATAATCGACATTATGTAAATCTTCAAATTATTGGTCGTTTTCCGAACTGTCCTAATTGTTAAAAAAAAACCAAAATTATACTAATACGAAGAAAGGCGTATATTAATAGAAAATGTTTATATTATGAGACTTATTTATATTTAACAATCGCAATCAACGAAATTTGCACTAAAAAAAATTTTGTATTCTAACCCCGATTGTTTTTATTTAACACACTGTTGTATTCTAACCCCGATTGTTTTTATTTAACACATTGTTGTAATAAGGTATCGGGTTTGAGCAATACTTCTAGTCAAGAAGCGTTTGGCTCCAGTCGTGAGGTCTCCGATTGGGCAAATGCTTTGTGTTTGCTTAAAAATATTCGAGAGAGATATTCAAAGATGATAGTGGTTGCCGGACCAATAAGATTCAAACTTGTGGCATCAAACGTCAGAATTATGTATGTTACACTATGTGTGATTTAATTGTGTAACCGTAGCCGTATATTTAAAGTCGCTATATCTTCCTCAATCTGACCGCTCAACCTCACGCCATTTTTACGAATACACACTTATATGATATATGTATTCTTACATGTATATTTCAGACTCGTGCATCTTCGTTTAGCTCTTATATCAACACCGACGTTGGTATACGATATACGGCTTTGTGTAGAAACACAAATTACACGACGGGATTAACACTCGTGGGATTTTGGTGCAATAGCAAATGACAAGAACGGAAAGCAAAGTGCAAGCTTCCATAGGAAGAGGACTTGGGAAGAACACATTGTTGACGCCAAAGAGGCATAGGGTACGTGCTATTTATCGAATAAGTCTGTGTGAGTGACGAGAGAAGTAATGATACTTAAGTGAAATCGAAACATGTGTCATAATTGAGTACTTTTGAATAACTCATGAGCAGTACTCTACAACAACACTACACATTTTCTTCTATTTCTGTTATTTCAACAGAAAATACTTCGTGAAAACATAAAAGGCATAACGCAGACAGCAATCCGACGCCTAGCGCGCCGAGGAGGCGTAAAGCGTATGTCTTATGATTCATATGAAGAAGTTCGGCAAGCGTTGAAAGCATTTCTGAGAGATATCTTGAAAGATGTTATTGTCTACTGTGAGCATCAGGGAAAGAAGACGGCGACTTTAGATGACGTATTTTTATCGTTGAAAAGAAGAGGAAAGGTTATGTACGGATTCAGTGGAGATGCATCAGCGGTAGCAAGAGAAGCGGTGAAGGAACGAAGCAAAAAACGTGAATTGGGTATGTTTAAAGATGTCATTTGGTGAATCGAGAAAGTGTTTGTGAACGATTGCGCCAATCGCGGTAGGCAAAAGGCATGCTTTATAAGGAAGAAAAAGTAGGTAACTTGTCGTAACGTATTGAGAGACTATGATTATAGGGAATAAGAGTTGCTTACTAATCAGATGCAAATAGATATGCGGTAGTCAATATAGTAGGAATGATTAAATAGCTAAAAGCGTGATATATTACTATTGACTCGACAAGAAGTGTAATAGCTTGTGAGACAAACTAGTAGTAGTAATATAGTTATTTAACTATAATAAAAGTTAGGCAACATTTTATGAAGCTATCTATCCTTGTCTTGCATAAACATTGGTTATGTAAAAAGCTATAGTTATATTCCGTTTTTATTAGCCTGGTAATCAAAGTGTTGGTAATAACACTTGTCTATTACTATCAGCATATGTTACACATGTGTCTCTGTCTTGACTATGGTATTCAATTTCAGCCTTTTATTCAGTTAGAGTTTAATCAGACACTTCAAATGTATTTCTGTATTACATGTCAGGACGATTTACGTATAGATGTTTAACAAATACAGTAACATTCTTTGATAACAAACAACAACAGCAAATAGGCTGATAAAAGCTATTCCAATGATTTATATTGAGCAATCATAATAAGGGATACTTATTATTATTGGACACTAATGATAAGAATTATCATACATGATCTGGGGTTCTCTCAATTCAGGTTGATTACTTCTGACATAGTTAGTACTAGAGGAGCTGAAATCTCTAACCATTTCAACGAAACCAATTACGTTTGTGTACATGAGGATGTTCTTGTGATTAGATTGACAAAAGTTTAAACAACATTAAGTAACAGGTTAACTCTGAAATTCTGGTAAGAGGGCTCATGAAAGCAGAAAAAATTTCACTAGATATTTACATGATGGTGCTTTTTTGTTCTAGCGCCCCAACTACATTATACTGAACGGATATATTCAATATTAATCCTCCTCTTGTCTAAATGTGAAGGGACCCGATTTTGCTATTTACATGTTTTGGGTTCAAACTGTTTTCTTTCTGGGTTCAAAAGTCATATGACATCGGACTAGATGCTCAGAAAAAAGAATAATAACATCTCTGACTTAATTACTCTCCTTATTTCGGACACCATTTGATAAATAGTTAAAAGCATAATGTATACATGTACATTTAACGTTTCTTGTTTCTCATCTTTGCAAATTGTAATTGCTTTGACAAGTTTCTCAAAACCTTGATACATATAGCTGTACAATGATAATAAAGATTAAAGTAGCTCACATGCAAAGCTTTGATTTAAACATTTACATGTCACAGTTATAATAAACAGCAAGTCAAGAGGTACTACTCTATTCTTGTGTTCTATCAGTCCTATTTCGCTGCTAATGCACCACACACTATTTTATTAATTGACTTTCCTGGTTGATTCTTATTCTAATTCTGTAATGCTTCTTCATTTTTAATAACAGTTTTTTATTATTGTGTGAGAATATTAATTTGTTGTTTCAACAATAGCTGACAATAAATACAGTGTGTTACAAAAGAAAACGCAAAAAAAGTACTGTTGGGCTATGACAGTCAGAGTAATGAATAAGCTTTATACTTTATCTAATACTTTATGGCAGATTTTATTACTACTACCATAACTTTAATAGAATATTTATTCACAAATACTTCCCGTAATTAATTAACATTTCTATCTTATTAATTCCACAAAATTGTATCATAATAGAATTTTATTCCCCGACTACATATAAAAACTAAACTAATAACTAAGGTTCCATAGCTTCACAAATACTTTTCTCAATTATTTTGGCCAAATGTCAGTAGCCTCGTATGTGTATTCAAGATAAAATATAATTGCAAAACGCTAAGGTTGAGCAAAACAAAAGTACTAAATCTTTCCTGGCAGCTTAAAAAAACCACAGTGACACCACCCTATGCACAAGTACACAAAAAAACTGCGAACAAAACAATTTGTACTGCGCTTTTAAAAAGTTTTGTAAAACACTACATAATTCTCGCGTTTTGGAGAATAAAATAATTCTACATATTAGTTATATTAAACATACTTTATTAAAGATGTAAAACAATATTGTATTTATTAAAAGTAGATGTATTTTTGGTAAACTTTTTATGGCACATAAATATCAAAATAAAAGCACGTTGTGAGCTAATGCATTCATATAATACAAAGCAGTAGTCTAAAATTTGCTAAATTGTATCAACTCGGTACATTTCTTGTCATTTAAACGTTCAAATGTCACGACCTTTGTAAACTGACAGTTTTAACTTGACATGTGAGATTAAACTACATAGAACAATAACTTATATACGTGTTTGTAATTTACAGATTTAAAGATCAAATAGTCTTATAAGTTTGTACGTTTTTTTATCTTATATGCGTAAATGGTTGAAGTTCTAATCTTGAAACTCTATTTTAGCAAAATAAAATAAGGTTAATACACATTGTCTCAAGACAAACGAAAAAGAATGTGGTCGAAATTTATTCACTCATGTCGAGAAATTTACACTTAGATCAAAGCAATTGACCAGTAAGTCACAAAAATTAGCGACGATACTTTTTTTTATGTCTTGGACGATGCGACCAATCTAATAATAGATTAGTGTTTGTTTGTTGTTTTTTTTTTGTATCGAACAATACTTTGTAGATTTAGTTGAATTATGACAATTCTTCCAGGAAATTAAAGACATATTATTACAGCTTATCTGGTAAGATAGAGTCCCACGATCAAGACTTTACAACCACCGCTCAAGCATACTTTCAATTCTTAATACTAATAATAAAGTTACACAAACTACTATTCATACCATAATAATTACGCGAAATATGATAACTGAGACAACTATATCCAGACCATTTTGATAGAAAAAATCAAACCGAAATTATGCCAGTCAGTAACAATAAGAGGAAAACCGATTTACTACGTATAAGGGGAGACACCGTTCAGCATTAGCATATTATTGAGCAATTTTATTACACAACTACAGATAGCATCAAATTCGGAGTTTTGTATTAACGTCCTGCATATTTTTTGTTAAACTTACATTACGTTGTTTTTGAAACACCTACTAAACAAACTAATTTGGATGCATATTTAAAGGACGAGCCAAGTTTTTCATACTGTTACGGCATGTCACGTGAAGAAGTATTACTCGTTCTTACTCTTACAATTGGTATTGAGGGAGGATAACCGGTACAACCACACTTGAAATTTTATTTCTTTATGCATACATGTTGTAATAGACCCGCTAGCTTTTAAAAGACAAGAGTTTAAGAGTCTTGATTTGTATTCTGTACTGTGATACTTGCTTACCTTGCATGCTAATAATTTGGTTTTACATTTGTCACTAAAATTAAACACCATATCGTTAAAGTTTAACCGTATTAGTATGCCAAATACATACGCTATAGTATATATCAACATAAATTTCTTGCTACATTCGTCAAGCTGTTTATGTCAGGCATTTCAAACCGCCCGAGTAAATCACATTAAAGAGTCGATATTAGTACAATGTGTAAATGAACATGGCATATTAGTATTGTAGTGGATTATCTAAGAGTAGTACAATAATAAAGAGTTTCCAATATATGAATATTTTAAAATTATTGCATGTATAGTCCGATTGGCTTGCAGAAACTGCAGGTTTACGATTTAGAAGCAATCGCAAGATTATCTAATATCACGAGTACAATGGTAACGGTATATCCCATGCACAGCGTAACCTGCTTGACACTACCCCCCCCTGAATCAGCCTCCAACATGCATTGCGCCACTTTTCTGAAGAACGAACCCATTCGATAAATATTATCAGCAAGTCTTGTAATCGTCAAGACAAATTTCGTCAATTCGTTTGTGCTCTGTCCATTACACTTGACGATTAGAGCCAGCTTTTACTCTACCAAAGCCCGAATTTTTGGAACAAGTTTTACCCATTGATATATCGCTTGTAATCGATACGAGTGTAACATGCTTTTAGTTTACAGTTTCAAACTTAAAATATGCTGATCTTGTTACTGATATGTCTGTGAATGCCGTTTTCCAAATAGAGTTAGGACCAATCGCGAAAATGTAGATCATTGGGTCCCATGGTAGTTCCCCTGACCTGAACTCTTACAAAATTGGGATTACATTCAGTCAAACATAATAGTAAACACACTATTATAGGGCCCGATAAAAAATTTTTTGCATGAGAACGTTTCCACATGATCGTTTCTTTTTTGAGGCCTGACATTAAAAATTTTTTCAGACGATTTTTTGCATGCACACGAGTATGTGCAACACACATTTTATTAACGATCGGCAAATTATTAACTACTGGTTTTTATGGTCTAACCAAACGTTTATTAATTTGTAGACAAAGGACTCATTATATTTGACATTTTAGACACACATCTAAAATAGCTAGTCTTCTATCATTGTGTTATTAAACTGCATGTAATTTTATTTACAAACAATATGCAAGGTTTAATATTCTAGTTTGAAACATTATGCTTAGATTGTTACTCACATGATCACCTGTGCTGCACGCCCCTTACCATATCTATCATTGTACCATAAAATTTTTACAACAGTTGCAAGAGCAGGTTTCTCGTCTACCGATCCGTTTATTATAGAACATAACATAAGATAATGACTAATCTTGTGATAACCATGGTTATAAGATTTTTGGTAGCAGATGACAAATTAACCCGCTGATCGACTTGTGGTTTATAATTTACAACAAGAACAGGTAATCAAGTTAAACATGCTAAAATGTTAGAGACAACAAACGGTTCATTAAATAGTCAAGTAATACTAATACTTATTCCATGATGTATCTATTAGAAGCTTATTTACGCCATTATTAAAAACTGCCAAACTTTACTCAATAGCAAAAACTTTCTTATACCGGAGATGCACTTTGTGATCTAACATTGATCTATGACTTATAAGAATGTTGCTTGGAGTCAATGGTGTAATAGGTAAGTCAAG